GGCGGTGGGGCGGCCGGGGGGGGGGCGGGGGGGGGGGGAGCCGGGGCCTGGGCCTGGGAGGGGGGCCGGGCCCGGCAGGGGGAAGGGGCCCGGGAGAGGGGCCCAGCACAGCCCAAGCATCTCCCGCTGGCTGGTTTTACCTTGTAACCAAGGGTAGCTGGGGCTGGTTTGGCTGCGTGGGAAGGAAAAAAGAGAACACCAGGGGCAAGGAGGAGGTGAGGGGAACAAGGTGACCTCAGGGTTTCGCGAGACAGGGCCCCGTGAGCAGCGCAGGGAGTGTTGCCGAGGGGCAGGCAGGGGCTGCTCAGGGGGGCTGTGCAGTTCCCTCCCGGGGGGGATTCCGCCTGGATGTGGTCCCAGGCAAGCAGCGCTGGGGGCTTGGGCAGGGCATCGGGCCAGACAACCTCCGGGGGCCCCTGACATCTCAGCCCTGCTGTCACTCCCTGGTTAATGGGTTACTATGGAAAAGCAGGTCCTGCTACCTCTTTTTTTTTTTTCTCTATCTCTACGTTTTGCTGATAACTTTTTATTCTCTTATTTGACTGTTTCCCAAGGGCACATGCACATGTGTGTACTCCTTCCTCAAGGTTTTTCTGTTCTCTAGCTTGACCTGAATTTCCTGCCTTTTTCACTTCAGCTTCAGTTCCCTGGCTAGAGCTGCATCTTTTAATCTTTACTGAAAGTGTGTGACCAAGGTAGTAATTAAATGCACGCTCTGAAGTCTGTTCCTGATGCAGATTTTCTGTGTTAGAGTAACAAGGACGCTGTATCCTGCCAGTCTTTTTCCAGAAATGAAGCTCTGATTGATCCCTGAGGCAGCCTGGAGTCACAGCAGTCCCATTCCTTCATCACTGACCTTAGCAATCATCTTTTTGGCCATCTGTGTACTCTAGCATCTACACAAAAAAATGACAAGCTTGTTCTTGGTGTGCAGGAGTGAGTTGTCAGCATGGCTAACTTTCATGTTGTCGTGTTGTCGTGTGACTTATCTAGACTACTTATTCTACAAATATATATAGCGTTAGATCTGAGGAGAAAAAGAAATTTAACACTGTCTAAAGATAACTGTTAAAGAAGTTCTCCTGACCTAGAACTGTGGTTGGAGTCCAAGTTCCATCCTTTTTATCTGGTTGCCATCAAGTTTAAGGTTTCTAGAGATTCACAGTGCTTGTCTGTTTACCCTTTTGACTTTGTCAGTTCTCCAGTAGCCTCAGCCATCAAGTAGGACAGGAGAGTTTTGGTAGAAGCACTGTTCCCCCACATGTGCATACACAGGTTTTCATTCACATTCTCTATCTATGAACTGCTGTTTTATTGTTATTTCTTCCAGGTCCTTATAACTGAACACAAACCACCATGCCTCCTCCAGAGACCATGTTTTGTGCTCAGCAGATCAAAATTCCCCCTGAGCTGCCTGACATTCTGAAGCAATTTACCAAAGCTGCTATTAGGACTCAACCTCATGATATTTTGCAGTGGGCAGCTGCGTAAGTAGGATGTTCATGTAGTGATGTAGCACTGTGTGTATGGACCCATAAAATCTCAGATTTGTTGGACAGTGAATCTGGCTTGAACATGAAGCCAACCTGTGCGTTGCATAGACACTTCTGTGCATTAATCCAGCCTGTAAGAATGGTGTAGGGCTTGATTTCTGTTGCAGTGAGGTTTAAGACTGGCATATTTCTGGAATAGTCTGATTTCCGTATAGAAGAATGCATTTTAATTTTTTTGTTAATTACTCTGTTCTTTCAGACTAAAGACATCTTTTAAGACCTTAGAAGACCAAACCTTATTATTATTACTATTTTTTCCTTTAATGTGAGACTTAATTCAATTTCTGGGATTTAAAGGACACCTAGAAATAGCTTTCTGATTCTTAAACTTTTTGTTGTTTCCAGGAACAAATATAAGGCATTTCCTTAAATGTTACTGACATAGGAAAAGAGCTTAAAAAGTTTGTGACTTCTAGATCTAGAACTGTCATCATGAAGTTGGTTTAAGATATTTAAATGTTTCCTCTTCTCTTTTGTGTTTTTTCTCCTTTACCTCTCATTATCACTTCTTCATGTGCTACAGTTTGTGTGGACAAGCTCTTGAAAAGTATCTGAGATGTTCTTAACTGAGGAGATTAAAAAAGTCTGTGCTGTGTATGTGAGGGAGGGAAGTCTTTTAAGGAAGCCAGGCCAGAGTCTGGCTTGTCCATTAAGAAAGGAAAAAAAACAGAAACTGAATCGCTAAAGCTGCAGTGTTAGAGAAAAGCAGCAGGAACACCTTAAAATGGCCTTATTTTTCTTAGGAATGTGATGGAGGTAGGATGTGGCTTACCTCCTGTGATGGATGTGCAGGGAGCTTGCTCCAACCAAGCAGCTGAAGTGGCAGCTGCCGGCTTGCAGAGCCTGCTGCAGCCTGGGGCTGGTGAGAGCAGGGCTGTGCAGCACTGTCGTGGCCAGGCCCTCAGCCAGACCTTGACTTTGGCTTACAGATGGCACCAGTTGTGTTGGAGGAGCCCCCACAGATGGGTAGGCAGCTGCTGCTGATTGCACACCCCTCTCTGGAGTATGCTCCTGTGCAAGAGCACCTGGGGCCAAGCAAGGTCTGGCTCTGGGGGCCACATGAAGCAGAACCAAGGCTGTGGTTTCACACACACACTGCTGGTGCTGTAGGTCTTGTCCCTGTGAATAATCAGATGGAGGAATGGATTTGGCTGAAACGGAGTCCAGGAGTTAAACATACATACAAACTGTGCATCTCTTTCTATACCGTCATGTTGATTTAGTTCTGCAGTGCTGCTGGCCATGCATTTTGTTGAGTATTTGCATGGCATGCGATGGCCTGGGCATGGATATGGGTGACCAGGGCAGGTGAAGGAGGATGAGTGGAGAATCCCTTAGGATAGATAGACCTGCCACTCACCAAATTTAAACTCAGTTTTTCTTGCCTGCTTCAGATTGTTGGCCAGGTATGGCAGAGGTAGTTGCTCTTAAGGCTGTGGCAGCCTCGCAATTAAAAGGATGTGCTTCTAATTCCCTTTCTGCTCTTTTTTTAAATCTTATTTTGGAGTGAACAGAGATGGCAGAAACACTGATGAGAGAGTTGCAGCATAAATAGCCAGTTGTAATTTTCAAGTAGCTTGTGAGGGAAATGTTAAACAAATGAGCCCTCAGGTGCTCGTCAGTCAAATGAGAAAAAGCTTGTGCTTTGGTTTGCAAGCCCACTCTGATGTTAATAAATCTGAGTGTGAGTGTGTCATGCACAAAATAAGTTAAATGCTTTATGAATTATTAGAGGGTTGTGAAAAAGGAGTGTAAAAAATCTCAGGATTGTGGTTTCCCCTGCAAAGAAAGGTCGTATCAGGGCACAGGGAGATGGGAGTTGTGTAGGCAGATGGCTTGCCAAGTGCTGCTTCTCCTGTGTGGGAGGATGCAGATTAATTCATTGAACTATTATGTCATGGTAAAAATCATGAGTGTTTACTTCTGTGTAGCTTATAATGGCCATGGGCACTGAAGCGTGTTGCTCTTCCCATTCACTTAGGTACTTTTCTGCACTGTCAAAAGGTGAACCCCTTCCTGTGAAGGAGAGGTTTGAAATGCCTTTACCAACAGAGGAAACAGAGGGTGGTTTGACCCCAGGACTCCTTAAAATCTTGCACAAGCAGGTACAAACTTGCCTTTGTCAAACATACGGTGCTGTCAAGGAATGCTGATGTGCTGGGGAGACTGACTGTCAAGTATTTGATGTGTTTTGGGGAGGGACTATGTCTTGGCATCATTCTGGTTTTCAGAGTTCTTACTGTGGTACCATGATACCGTCTCAAGTTTTCTCCCCAAGGCATGGTGAATGTTGCAGAACTGAAGGAAAAGTGGAAGCACCTGTGCTTGCCAGAGGAGCAGCTGAACACTATCCTGCAACTGGGCAACTTTGGTGAGGAGGCAGAATGGATGAAGATTCTGGCACTTGGGTGCAGCGTGCTCGGCAAGGTACGTTCACAGCAGGAGTCCTTGTATCCAAATGCAAAGGGATATATATGATCATATATGAGGTAAGCCATAGAACAGTTAATGCAGATGGTCTTTGGGGAATGGTAGTTGCTTTTGCAGTAGCTGGCAAAGTCGCTTGTGTGTTTACTTCTGTTCCCCAGCTTTTGGTCAGGGGAGCTTAACCAGAAAGAGAGGGCTACATCCACAGTTTACTGGGGTAGCCACAGAGGAGCAAGCATGTCCACAGGGAGCTTGGACCATGAGAGAGAGAGGATAATAGAGGAATGATGCTTATGGAATCAGTGTCAATGAGGAAAACTGGAGGGAGAAATTAAAACATCCGTTTTTAATTGATTGTGTAGTCAATTAAGTTTTCACAGAAGCAGTTAATTTTACTAAATCTACATCTAATTATTTTAATGTTAGTAATAAAATCTCAGCAGAGCATTTAAACAGAATGAGATGTTATAAAAGGCACTACACTGATGTTCTTAAGAAGTATAATATTTTTAATGACTTTTACAGTAGGAAAGAAGAGAAGCTAAAAAGAAAATACATGTTAAATAATATTTTGAGAATGTTGGAATATCTGGATACCCTGAATGTTAATCTGGCCTGGCAATCATGTGTGTATATATCTATATAGATATATATTTATTAATTTCAGCTGTGTATTTCTTGATTCCAGTCCCCCCTCCAACATGATTTTATAGCTTGGGTTCTTAAAGTAAGTAATAGCAGGGTTGTTATTAAAAAAAAAATCACAACAAAACCAGTCTCAGGAACATCATTCTGATGAAGCTAGACCATCTAAATTTACCTTAATCTATCCATCCTTTCAGATATTAAATGAATTATTTTTTTTCCACCGTACATATTGAAACCTAAACTTCTGTTTCCTAACCAGAGAGGAAGACACACACAAAAAATGCACATTCATTTTCCTGCAGCTGTAAGTTGTGTTCATGGTTGCATAGGGTCGCGGGTAAGATAGAAGAGTAGAGAAGTGTGAGCCTCTTAAAAACACTAGGTTATCTGAAGTGTCTTTCTGTGAAGCACTGATGTGTTTTTACAGCCTTGGAGAAACAACCACAGAAGTAGCCGACTACCCTGCCTATGAAAGGTGGGGACATGGATGTGAAGAACATTGCTGTGTTGTGAGAGGGAGCAAGGGGCGGCTCAGAGTGGCAGGAGCAGGAAACAGCAGGAGCACTTTAGCAAACTGAGGATGCTGGAGAGCTGTGCTGAGTCTTCCATTCATGTAGGCAGCTGCCTCTCCTTCCCTACAGACGCCTCCCAGGGGAGGAACTACATTACATACAACTGCTAAGAGGTTATAAAATGACACTCCTCTGGCCTGTGTTCCAGATCTTGAACAGATACTGGATTTATTGTAAATATTGCTGTTCTGCTGTTATGAAATACTTATTTTTTTTACAAAATCATTGCTTGCTTATTAATGAAGAGGCCAAGGATACATTTTTTTTAAAGTTATAGCAAAACTGTTACTACTTGGATTTAAAAAGGCCCATGTGGGTTTTTTTCTTTGTTTGTTTTAATGGCATCCAGTTAGTCTCTGACATAATGAAGCTCAATGCTCCATTTTCCCACACTTTTCTGTATGTAGCTCAGCATGGATAGGGCACTGGATTATAGACATTGTATTGAGTAAATACTTTTTAATAGTATATTTGGAATTAATACTTCAAGGCATGTTTGTTCTAAAGGAAACCCAAATGTTATCTGCCCTGGAGGGTAAACTTGGAGTTGGAAGCTAGGTAACAATGATAAAGCCTTCATGTCGTTTACACTCACTTTTAGTGGCTTGCAAAGGTTGGTGGTGGCTCTGATGATGTTCCTCTAATTTCTTGACTGAACCTCCTCTACAGTCCTTACTGAGTTCAATGAAACATGCCTGTGAAATCATAACAAGGGACCCAGAAGGCGGAGCAGCGAGCGTTCCATTCGAAACGTTCTCGTTCCTCTACTCCTATTTGGCCAGTATCGATGGAGAGATACCAGAGGAGAAAACTGAAGCTTTCCTCCAAAGGATTAAAGAACAAGCGTAAGTGCACGGAATTTTAATGTGTGGATTACCCCTGGGTTCTCCATAAACCTTTAATTTCAGTTGAATAATCTATCTTCACTTTGGATATAGCCATAGTGACAGGAGTAAAGTTGAGTAAGTTTATACTAAAAGTGTGCATAGTTATTTTTTGTGAAGTGGTCAACATCAGGGTTTGAACTGTTAAATCATAAACTGTTATTTATCCATCTTTCTTTGAAATATTGAAGTCACTGCCTGGTGGTATAATTTTCCCTGAAGGAAGCAATTATATACAGGTTTGTATATTATTGCATATTACTGGTACGAGAATCAGGAGCATCTTATGGACTACTCTTATGATTTAATATAGATCAGAAACAGAAACTGGAAGTTCCCACTTGAAGTCTGAAGTTTCTATCATGTTTATCTCAATTTCCTTCTCCATATAAATTTTCTTGAGAAAACATTTAGTATGTACTTGGTCTTAAATGGTTTCGCTCTTCAATTTTTGTAGTATTTACTGTGGTAAATTGTACTTCCTGGTAATGGTTTTGTGTTTGTTGCCTTCAGTGAATATAAAGGACAATAGTAGGACATAGTCCCACCTGAATAGTTTGACCTGTTTTGGTATTCATGCTGAGTTGGGGTGCCTGGGTACATTTCTAATCTGTTCTGTTTCTCTTTCTGCTTCCTCTGAGGTTGGTTTATAGTTTGGTGTCAAGTCTTATCAATAAGCCATGAACTAACACGGTTCTTCACAGCAGATATGCAGGTTGAAGGTTAAGCAAAACCTCACTGCCTGGTGATCTGTTTTGCTGCCAACAACAGCTGTGTTCAGGTCTTTGCTGTTGTGTAAACACTGGCTTGCTTCATAATGCAGAAGCAACCCCATTCTCCTCTCTGGACTTCATCAAGTAGTTTGTTAGCAAATGATGAACCTCTGTGAATTACTCATCTCTTGCATATTGAGGCAAGGTAATTATTTGTAGTTTCTTATTAGTTTGGTATCCAAGGTTTTACTGCTGCCAAGTACCATACCCTGAGGCAGGTGGGATCAGTGGGCTTGGATGCAAAGAAGATGTACCATAGCAGTATAATGGATGTGTGTGTGACACACTATGGAGTTTTAAATCTCTCTATTGTTTCTAAGGACTTGGGTAATCCATGTGCTGTTAGTGTTGGATGACTGTGTGTGTCATATACTTACTTTGCAGTAAAGACCAAGTGGCAGTATGAAAGGTACATGGATTTGGATACCAAAACACTTGCATCACAGCTATATGCACATTTATGGATTTTGTGATGTCCCTTTTCTGTAAGGGCTTAAAGGGTGAAGCCCAAGGGAAAAGCCAGGCAGGTCAGTGCAGCAGTGCCAGCCTTGCTGTGGTCCTGGTGCAGGATTTTGGTGCTCTCTTAAGTGTTCTCCAGTGTTCTGGGTGTTGGCAGTATGGTCCCAAATGCTAATGTAGGGACAGGAGGTTTCCCCTTGCTACAACCAGGGTCTTTTTTTTTTGTACCCTGTTTATCTCCTATATTATTTGGCATCTCTCTTACAAGATTGGGTAGAGAACAGCCTGTTGATGCTCAGCCCATTTGAAAGATTTATGAGAAGCTGTTGAGGTCACTTGGATTATTCAGCTTGGAGAAGCAGGCTGAGGGGTGACCTCATTGCAGTCTATGGCTTCCTGATGAGGGGAGGATATGGGGCAGGTACTGATCTCTTCACTCCTGTGAGCAGTGACAGGACTCAGGAAAGGACAGGAAGCTGAATCAGGGGAGGTTTAGGTTGGGTATCAGGAAAAGGTTTTTCACTCAGGGTGGCTGAGCACTGGAACGAGCTCCCCAGGGAAGTGGTCCCAGCACCAAGCCTGCCTGAGTTCAGGAAGCATTTGGATGATGCTCTCAAGCACATGGTGTGATTCTTGGGGTGCCCTACATAGGGACAGGAGTTGGACTCAATGATCCTGATGGGTCCCTTCCAACTCAGCATATTCCAATTGGTTTTTTTCTAATTTTTTAACCCATTTTTTCATATGTTGTTACCACTTCCGGTGCTTGCAGGTTGGTTGTTCTGAAAACTTCTGGACACCTGCACTTCATGATCAACAGGGTATTTGCATAGATTGGCTACCTTTTTTGTTGCACACACTGACACTATTCATACATATTTCTGTCAACATTTATAACTGAAAAAAACTGAAATTCACAGACTGGTGCTAACAGCTCTGCTAACCAGGCCTAATTAATGAAAACTGCTACAGGTGAAAGGCTCATCCCTGATAGGCTTGGATTGGCTATGTGAAGTCTTGTGCCCACAAAATTCAGTGTCAAAATCTCATAGCTTTTTAGGAGATGGAGGAAAGGATCCATCAAGATATTGTACATATTCCTACTAGAATTAGGGTGGAATTAGCATTAGGAATGCCTGAAAATTACATTGTCTTCAATCTAGTTTTCAGATAGTAACATACCAGTTTTAAAAGATCTGCAACAGGTTTGCCCTCCCATTGCTGCCTGTGTGGCAGGTTTGCAGACAGATACACTTTTCCTCCCATCTATCTGGAATTGGACTTTCTGTCTTGGATTGCTACCAGCTGGATATACCAGCTGGAGCTCAAAATGCACAAGTAGACACATAAACTGAATTGTTTTGCCATTAGTTACTAACATTTTTTTAAAATAACTACTTTTTAATGATAGTAACAGCAAGCAAGAGAGCTATCACCCTCAACTGAACCTTGCTCAACAAACTAGGATTTATCATGCTAGTGTTCTAAAATGCTTGGTTTATTCCTTTCCAGTGACCAACAAACCGGCATGGTGCTGCTCAGAAACTTTCTGACCTAACCCTCAACACTACAAGTTTTGATCAAGCCTACTCTTCAGCACCAGGTGAAAGGGAAAAAAAAAAAAAAGGAATAAATACATGTAAGAAAATTTGTGTTCAAAGGACTGTTATTTGCATATTACAATGCAAGAAGATGCTCTTCCATAGCTCTTCCCTTTGTTTACATCACTCTTGAAATGGCCATTTGGTAGATGTTGATTGAATAAGTGTACTGTTTTCCTGCCTCTCAAATACTGATGCTCATGCCTAAGGAGTGATACCTTCATCCATTTTTTTTATATTGAGTAACATGCATTTTGTTGTGGATCTTCCTACCTGTGCTTCATAAGTGACTGTGAGAAGTAAAACACGGAATTAACCTGAGGGATGATGGGGCAGCTCCAATTGGTGCATTTCTCATTATGCAGCTGGATAGCACTGACTTTGACTCTTGCACAAATACAGCTTGTCTTGTACTACTTTGCATGGACAAGCTCTATTAAACAAATAAAGTCTTACTTAAGAGAACTTCCTGAGAACCCTGTCACTGAGTTGGCAGAAGAAAGATCAACTCAAGAAAAGACAGCAATGTTTCTATATTGTTTTTCCTCTAATTAGGACCCTTTCAGAACTTAAATATCCTTTTCCATTCTTAGATACGGTTGCCTAATGAAGGATCTATTTAAAACATCTTATTTTCTAACACAAAAGGCTACTGCATTTATCAGGTAAGGAATGCCTGACAGAGTTCAGCTTGGTTTTGAGTTGAACATCTGTAGTAGGCACAGAAGTCCAAAACAGTCAGAACTAGACTAAGTATTCAGTGACAGATGATCACACTTAACTGCAGAAATGATTGAGTTAAGAGACAACATACTGGTGGCTACAGGAAAATTGGAGAGATTCCATCAACAGGGAAGCCAAAACCAGGAGCCAGTGGAGTGCCCTCTCCTGGCAGCTCACTCGAACAGAAGAAAGTATTGTAGGACAGATGGATCTGCAACCTTCTTTTGTATTTACTTACTTTGTTGTCGTTGGCTGATGATGACTGGCCTTGCTGTAGTAGATAGTGTGAGGAATTAACAGGTCAAGACATTGATATGATAAAAATCTGCCTGAAGTGGAATTCTCCTGCATACCTTTAATATGTACCTGTGTGTTTAAAATATTTTAAATATTTTTATCAACCACCATTGCTAATATTTATGTTAAGTCTACAGGATGGGAACTCCTCCTAGTTATTTTTGGAAGGATATGGGTACACAACCAGTGTTTGAAAATGGCAATCAGCAATATTCCAAGGGTTCTTGGTACCTCCTCACTAGTTTCTGTGGAGGGCTATATTCTCATCATATTTGCCAGATGACTTTGGTCATAAATTTGAGCATGAGTTTGGCAACAGCAGCTTTCCCTGTTACTGTCCTTTTACCACTAGCTGCAGTTGAAGATACTTTAACCTACTGGAGAAGTCTGAACTCTGCCCTCTCACCTCTGGTACGTGCTGTAACTAGACAGTAAGTGCTGACTTTCTGGAACACTGCTCTCAGAGGTGACAATGTCAGGAGGAAGGCTAGGAGGGAAGGTTTTTTTCATGCCTCTTCTGTTTGTAATTGATCCTAGTTCTCCAGGAACTAGCTCTGTACTATATCCACCTTTTGGATACTAATTATGGGCCAGAAATGCAAATTATACAGTCTTTTGCAGATTTCATTCTTCATCTTTGTCAGACTAAACTCAAAAACATTAAAAAGATCAATGTAATTTATCAATAGATGCATTAGTGTCACACAGTTACACATTTTATGATACATACTGCTTCCATCCTGACAAACGTTGACACCAGTTCATTTCTGTCTCCACGGCCAGCTCTGATGTAACACCAATATTATGTACACAGTGTTACTGTCCCTGGCACAACAGCAGTAATGACAGTTCTGGTGAAGCAATTTTTTGAACAGCTAACAAACAAAACAATCAGGTCCAGGTTTCTATTTTCTTCTTTTATGGCTGTGATACTTGTCTTCATCCCTGAAACAAAAACACAAACATTGTGTGTCCTTTTAGGCTCAGACTGATAGAACCTGAAGGAAAAAAAAACAAGACAACCCAGGCTTGGAAAATGGAAATGTCTCATTAAATGTAATCATGTCCTCTTCTATGGAAAGAAAGTAAACTACTTTAAGACAGTTTATTTTCCATGCTGTTTTAATCAAAGTTTTGTCATACAGTGCAGTAGTGGCAAATAGGATCAGGATAAAATTTAGTATTTAGGAATTTCATTTAGATCAAAAGGCTTCACAGTGTAACAAAGCCAATTTGAGACAAGCAATCCTTCCCATCCGTTCAGTTACCTACAGCATCTTTTCCACACATCCTAGGGACAATGCACCATTTCTTCTGCACAACAGCCTCAATCTTTGCTCCAACACAGGTTACCCACACCTATGGTCTTGCAGATGCAAATGTGCCCTTGAAGGTATCAGAAGGTGTGGCCTAGATTTGTTTTTTTTTCCCTGAAAGTGTGTCCAGAACTACTGAAGAGCAACAACACAGTTCTGAAGCAGAGTGAGCTAGTCAACTGATCCTATGAATATATGTAGTAGTGAAACAAGAAATCCTATTTATTAAATTCCAGGGAAAACCGGAGCAGAACTGGAGCATTAGGCAAGAACACTTAAATGGTTAAATGAAAAATATGTCCTCCCATGTCCATCAAGGAGTAAAACAGCCTCCCATAGTAATGTGCTAACCCTGTAGCGTGCGGTTTTGAAGTGTCACCTTTCAGAGGAGAGAATAAATTCTGAAGTTTGGATCACAGTTTATGATCTCACAGCAAGTTCTTTTTAGTGTCAGTAGCCTCATGCCACTGGTTCTTATACTGCAGATGAGGTTAGCCCAGCTTTTTAACTGGACCAGATACTCTAATTCCCTGCACTAAATTCTCACTGCCAACAGCTATGGCCACCTGATGCAGAAGCATGAGTTCAGAGTTTATTGCTCACCGTTCTCTTCTTCTCTGTGAATCTCTGTCTTTTCCTCTTTCACGACTCCTTTTTCGTCTGTTTGGACTCCTGCTGCTCTCTCTCCTGTGTCTGGTGCGTTCAGTGTCCTTACAGCTTCCTCCAGACTGCCGTGAGTCCACCGAGGCTGAGCGCCTGTCTTCCTTTCTGCAAAAAAGGTTATTCATTTTATTCAATAAAAAGTTTCACAGTCACTATTGTTTTCAGTACCAGTTTTGTAATAATAATGACATATTTTTTATTAAGCCTCTCTACCTCCCTAAAAAAATACAATGCCTCCTAAAAGAGGCCCAAAGTCCATGCTCTTATATATGCACACAGAATCACAGAATGGTTTGAGTTGGAAGAGACCTTAAAGATAATCTAGTTCCAACCCCTCTGCCATGGGCAAGGACACATCCTGCTAGAGCAGGTTGCTCCAAGCCCCATCCAAATTGGCCTTGACCGCTTCCAGGGATGGGTCTTCGAGAGCTTCACTGGGCAGCCTATGCCAGTGTCTCCCCAGCCTCACACTAAAGCATTTCCTTCTAATGTCTAACCTAAATCTCCCTTCTAGCATAAGGCCATTAAACCTCCTCCCCTCTCTACAAGCCCTTGTAAAAAGCCCCTCCTCAGCTTTCCTGTAGACTGTTCAGTTACTGGAAGGCTGCTATATGGTCTCCCCAGAGCCTTCTCTTCTCCAGGCAGAACAGCCCCAACTTGCTCAGCCTGTCTTCATAGGAGATGTGCTCCAGCCCTTGGATCATCTCAGCACACTATTTAATCCAGCACACTATTAAATCCAGTTACTTCTTATGAAATAAGTAACTTGTTGCTCAGTCTTATCACCTGTGTTTTGCTCTCAATCCCTAACTCCTCAACCACGTTCTTTCAGCTGCTGCCTACAGCTGGAGAACCCAGCAAGCCTAATCTCCTGTTTGGCCTTTCCATTCACCTTTATTTTAATGCTGAAAAAATACACCTCAACTGTCACCCTTTAGTTTGTTTCAACATCATTTTCATCTTGAAGAAATCCTGTAGAACCATAAACAGACTATCACTAGGCAATTGTTTCATTTTTATTTCAGTGACAAATGTTTGGAAAAGCATGCAGTGTTACTTGATACAGGAAGAAATACATCTACATAAAACATGCTATCAGCCTGCTCACATGCCCAAGGAATCTGTCAGGTGTGACATACCTTCCTGAAGATTTCGACTTCCCTCCTTCACATGTCTCTGCATTATCCAACCTATTCTCTTCCTGCCAGTGATTGCTGAGTTCTTCCATATGCACACCAATCACATCCCGAATCACCTGGAGATTTAAGATACATTAAAACAAACAACAAGAAAAGCAGCGTGTCATAGTAGTGAACTAGACTAGCAACTAGACAGCAGAAGGTAAAGATCTCAAAAAAAAAATAAATCCCACCCCAACCCTTATACATCAGATGTTTGAATGGAAGGTTTTATTTGCAGAAAAAGGTATTTCAGCATATATTTAAACAGCACCATTTTACAACAGTCAAATATATCTTGCCAGCATTTTCATTTGATAGTTAGAAACACTCCTCCTGTTGTTTGTAACTTGCTGCAACAACCCAAAAACCAGTTTTCTTTTTAGTTTGCAACTCTAGCAAGGCAGTGTGGGAAGAAGTGGGAAAAAAGGGAGACATTTTCTTTATTTGAAAGGGTATATAAATGTTTATGCTGAGGTACAATAAGCACTTTTATGCAAAAAACCCTCTTTCTTTTCACATACTCACCTCAGTGTAAGACTTCTTTGTTATATGAACATTCTTAGCCCTGTATGACTGCCGCCGCCTTTTGTAGTCTCGCATTTCAGCCAGAATTTCAAGATGGGACTTTGGACCTTTCTGACTATCATCTAGCAAAAAATTGGAAGTAAAACATATGGCCATTAGCAGGACAGTAGCACCTGCAGGTATGCAAGTCTGGTGCTTTAGTAATAAAAGTCCAAAACATAAAATACTTGGTGTTCTTTATGAAGTTTCTACACTATTTAGTAACTATTACAAATTTAGCACAAGCTCCCTCTCCAGCCTTCTTGCTAGCTGTTTACACAAGACTAAAAAGCCACCAAGCAAATGCTGCTATGTTATCGCAGTCTCCTGACAGTGATCCAGATCAATATATGGGCTTGCAATTTGGTCAAATGCCTACAAAATATAGGCCATGTTTTCCAAAGCAGTATTACAGTAAGACACACAGACTGAGAAGGCCAGATTCTGTGAAACATCTACCTGTGTAGACAAAAAACACTATCTCCTACCACTTAGGCATAGCAGGGCCCACAGGATAAGCCAGATGCTTCCAGGTGCTTGTATTTCACTTGATCCAGTTACAAACAGGCATGATTCAACAAGGATGAGAGGCCTTGTTCCAATACACTCATTTATATATCGCTCAAGTGCTCCATCGGACGACTGCCAACATTTCTTGTTAGGCTTTTAATCTTAAGTGATCTTTAATCTCATCATCTCTTACAGCAAACACCATTCCAAGTTCTGCAGTCAGTTGGCAACATTAAACAGCCTGAAATCAGCTGCAGTAAAGACAAAAGATCCATCCACTAAGATGGATCCACACAATACATGTGCCAAAAGCAGAGCGCCGAGACTTTCTCAGAAGTAAAAGAACACAAAGGCTACCAGTCTTTTCTGAAGCCAGGTCCTCATTGTGGCTTTTAAGAACAATATGCTTTTCACAATAAAAATAGCACAAGCAATTCTGTTTGGCTTGTGGCAAACTCATCTATCTATACAAAGTGAAAATTCTGAGTGGTAAATTCAACAGCAGACTGTTCTTCAAACCTTGGGTGATTTTTGCCGCTAAATCCACAAAGAGGTCACTGTCATTTTCCATGATTTGGGATCTAGACCTCTGCTTCTTTGTTTCCTCAACAACATAATCATAAAGAGCAAGGCGATCAGCTTGAGTCAGGTCACAGGTGGAACGCTTGTGATTTTGAGGAACTTCTACAGGCAGTAATGAGTAAGATCCTGGAGGTCGAACAGACAGCTGTTATTAGTGAAATACCATAATTATACAGGAAAACACTGAGAAGCTCAACAAACAAGAAATGCAGCAAAAACTCATGCTGTTTTCATCTTCCCTCTACATGTCTGTAAGAAGATTCACCCTTCTTAATTTGAAAGCATAAAAATTGCTCGAAAACAAAAAAGGCCCAAAGCCCTCCCCAGTCTGCACAACCTCTCCTGACTGCTCACTCTTAGCAACAGGTTTTTGACATGTTCTCAAGGGATCAAAATAGATTACATCAAAAGGACACTGTCTTGTCCCATCAATTTCAGCTCGACTTACAAACTAAAGCAAGAAAGATGAATCTGCAGCTCCTGCTTGTGGGTTTGTCAAACTCCTAACATTTTACGTTAAGGTACTAGCTACAAAATACCTGTTGTTCTGCCAACACAAATTAAAGCTTCTAGGAGACTGGGTAACTGGGCACTGTGCAGATCAGTTTCACTCACAGTGTCATTTTCTCTACAGAGCTCTCATAGTAAAATTGCCACAGGCACTGATAGCTAAAAGGGTTACAAAGGCACTTTCAAGATACTCCAGATTAGTTTAGATAACTCACTTCAAAGTTACAAAAACAAACACACTGCTTTCACGCTATTCTTTCCCTGAATGATCAGCCCAGTACTTGTTCTCCCTGTTCCCCCATTGAAAAACACATCCTCCAAACAGTAAATCCATTCTCAATCCATTGCACCAGCAGCAAAGCCAGTTCCTTAAAGATACAGGATGCAGCATTCTAGGATACTACCTGCAGAAAAGCATTTTACTTGAAACATTCCCCGTAGCCACTGACCCGACCTCCATAATCCTGCTCCCTGCAACCCTACCTTCTTCCTGCAAGGCACAATCCTACACAGACATGTGTCTCCAGGTAAGATAAGGTGTACACAGGAGTCCTCACAACAGCAAAGCTACTGCTTCCCTAGGTTATTCCCTAGGTTTTTCCACACTTAACAGCAGCTGGGCGATCTTTCACATCCTGTTTTCACTACAGACACTGAAGCAGGGGAAGAGGAGCTACCATAACCTACAACAACAAACCTAAAAGGCAAGATCTCCTCATTACTGTACTTGGAACCTAAGACCTTTTATAACCTGAACTAACATATTTAAACATGAATACTAGATTTTTATTTTTAAAATGCACTGTTCTTGCAGGGTCATGGAAGCCCACAGAAGTGCCCTAACAGTCACATGCTTGTGATTTCTCAAGGGTTCCATGACTTGTGATGAAGACCAGCCTTCCTCTCCTATTATATATCTATTCTAATATTCTAAATATGGTTAGAATTTTTTAAAAACAAAGATATAAAACTATTACCATTGGTAGAGCTAGTCAAAAGGAAATTTACGATGAAAAATGCTTTCCGTTTGTTTCTGTTCCCAAAGCCTTTAAATTAAACAAACAATTCCAAGTCAGTAACTCTTGTAATGGGCTAAGAGTCACAATGGAACCACCCCACGTTGTTTCAGTGTTCTCTTCAGAGAAACACAAGCTTGCAGTGAAAACTGGAATAGCAAACACTGGCACCTAGTGGCACTGATCGATCTCTGCTATTAAACCACTGAGAAAAGATTTATTTGTTTCTTCTCTGCTTGGATATACATGTGTCAAATTAATGAGTTACCACTTCCCTCCAGAAAAAAAATAAAAATAAAAATGCATCCAACGTGCTCCAAACACAGTTCCCATCACATGAAAGCTCCTTTCCAAGCAACTGACTGTTAAGGCTCCATGCTGGAGAAACAAAGGCAGCATAAAAACCTATGCCAGAGCACATGCTGCTGTATTTGACTACCAAGGCAGACAAGTAGAAAAAAAGGCAGTTTTCCTTCTGCATTTTACCAAACTAAAAGACTATAGACAGTAAATGCTGTATCTTTCAGGTGTTGCAGTAACTTCCATACGATAGGCTGCGGCTCTACAGTGGTTTCTATAGGTAGCCCTACTTTTCTGCTCTGAAAAAGAAGCACAGCTCAAACTTAACCTACTCTCCAGGCTGCTGAAAAAAAAACAATGAAAAAAAGAAACGTAAAGAAGAAACTCATGAGCTGAGAGCAGTGGCAAAGGACAGCATCATATTTGCAGATATATCAGCATTTTTACTATACAATTTCTTAGGACAGTCTTGAAACAATCCAACATAATAAGAGTAATACACCTGTTGCTTGGTTATTGGTCTGAGCAGTGGTGGACAAGCACACAGAGCTAATGTCTAACAATTAATCTTTAATCAAAATAAAAAGCAGTCCTTCTTTTCCTCCCCACCCATCACATGAAGAACAAGGCTGGAGGCAGCAAGAGAAGAATTTGAACCACAAAGAGCTGAAAATAATAACAGCAAATGCAGGCAGAAAGAAAGTGTAGGTAGAAGGATGGGAAGTGAAGGACTAGTGCTTTTAAGAAACTCCTGAATTTTGCAGTGTTGATTTTCCAGTCCTGAAGAGATCTAGAGGTGTGAGCACAACAGACTCAGATTCTCTGACCTGGTTGCCCCAAGTACAGAAAGAAGTTATGTTCCAAAGTATACAAGGGAAGGAAAATTAATTTTTAAAATGCCTCATAGCAGTTCACAAGAGGACTCAAGGAAGCTGTGTGTGGGGACACAAGAGCATCTTACACACCAGAGCTGACAAAGCTGTCCCAGTATCTGCTTACCTTCACTGCAGCTGGTACCTTCTTTTGCACTTTGAGCTCTAGCTTGCTTAATAATATGAAACTGCAGATCTTTATCTGCAGATAGACAAAAACATCATGAAGCTTTACATCAGATACTTGGTAGGGTTAGTCCTTATTCCCTAACTGCTAGTATGAGATTTATGGTACATTTTTCTTACAGAAGGGGAAGGTCTGAACTGAAAATATAATTTTAATCTATTACATATTTTAACTCAGGGAAAGAAAAAAATGAAGAAAATAAGAATTACCAGGTTACAGAGATATAGAAAACTAAATGCATGTATATCACACCTGTATTCTATTCCATTATTATAGCCCCAAGTTCTAGCGCCATTTTTTTCACCTCCTAAGCATGCATTTGAATATGCTTTCTGCATACAACGCAAGAAGCACACAGGAAGAAACTAGAAAACCACCTAAGTGGAATACAACAATCCTCCTTGGATTTTATCATTTCAAGAGCAGAATCACACAGCGACACAAGCACGGCGAATGCAGGCTGAGGCAAAGCCTGGCGGGGAGAGAAACAAACTGACGTGACGAAAACACTTGTTTAAGAGCCCTCGGCAAGTTGGCGGGTGGCGAGGCAGGGGGGTCTGCTCCTGCACACACAGCCCTCAGCCCCCCAGGGGGGTTCCCCTCGGCCTCTGATCCTCTGCACCCGCTCCCAGGGC